GCCTCCTGAGCTGCCTCGATGACAGCCCTGCTCCCCTTTCTGGCTGTGGACTGCTGTCTGCTGTGCCCTTTAGAGGGGCCGGGGGTCACTGATGCGTGCCTTGACCAGTTCTAGAAGCTTGCCGTGTTCTCAGGTCACCTCAGAGCCAGGCTGAGGGTTGCTTTCCTGCCCCTCCCCTAAGCCAAATTCCTTAATTGCAGGTGAGGATATAATTTTGGTCTCCTGCCAGGTCCTGTGACTGACAGACACCATGACTTATTTCTCCAGCAGGGAAAGAAGGCTGCCTGCTGCCCCCCTTAAAAACCCATTAATCTTCATTGATACTATTTTTCTTCTTCCTGACCCAGCCCAAACTTCCCATTTTTCAACCAGAGGTGACCCATATGCCAAGTGACCAGCGCCAGGATTGTGTCAGAAATGCAAGGGTGTCTGGGAGGAGGTTTGGAGTCTCACATGCAAGCTAAATGGATGATTTGGGGCGTGTCCTGTCCTGCTCACAGGGAGGGTAGGTCACACTCAGGCCAGAGCCTCCAGCCTGAGGCTGAGGCCCTGCAGTGGTTGTCCCAGGCAGGGATGCATGGCGCCCTCTGCTGTCCAGTGCGTGGAGTGGCAGCATCTGATCCACAAGGGACCTATCCAGGGTGTCGGGCCTCTGCCAAGAAAGGTCTGAATCAGGACCAGCCTGGACACCAGCAGGGAGGTTTTGTATTGTGTGACCTTGTGCCATCCCCACAGTTTAACCACACCAGGACCTGCATGGCCATTCCCGTTGTTAGACCAGGTGGATGACCTAGCTGCACGTCCACTGTGGGATACTTCCTGCCCACGGAGATCCCACGGGCTGTTGTAAGCAACTCCATGAAGCCTGATAATGACCTCAGCCCCTCCACCTCCCCAGGATCCTGTCCTTCAACAACCTCACGGGGCTGGATGAGAAGAGCCTGGCCAAGCTGGGCAGTTTGAGCATCCTGCACCTCAGCCACAACTCCATCAGCCACATCGCTGAAGGCGCCTTCAAGGGACTCAAGAACCTGCGCATCTTGTACGGCATTCACTGTGGGGGTGACCGAGCGACGGGGTCCTGGGCAGGAGAGCAGAAGAGGGCAGAGCTGGCCCCCCGAAGGCCTCTCTGGGAGTTCTCTGAACTCCACTCCCAATGGCTTTGGGTGGGAATTGGACCCCAAGCTGATGTGTTATGTGTGCATAGCTGATGTTGAATGTCTTGTTCCCCTGGGATGGTGCCTGAGGGAATGACAACCCTAAAGTGTGGTGTCACCAAGCAGAAGCTGCACATTGTGCCTGTCAGGACACTGGGTCCTGCTGTTGAAGTGAGTATCCCCAGGTCGGTAGCCACTGCCACACTGTCCCTGCAATCATTTTTTTTTTTCTTTGTGTACCAGTGATGGAACTCAGGGGCACTCGACCACTGAGCCATGTCCCCAGCCCTATTTTGTATTTTATTTAGAGACAGGTCACCTAGGGGAAAGGAACGCTCCAGCAGCACCAGGAAGAGCCAGATTGAAGAACTATCAATGGCTGGGCTTGAGGGACTATCTGAGCTCAAAACCTGGAACAAGGAAGGGCAACGTCCACCCGGTGGTCACAGAGGGCTCTGCTGCTCTTTGTGGGAAAATACCTTCATTTAGGCCTGGCCAGTGGTGAGCTAGGAAGGATCTCAGGAGTAGCTCACCTCCCCATTCAGAGGCAGATCCAGCAAGACCAGCCTCTCAAGCTCTCCAAAGGCAGGCCCAGGCCACCTCGCAGGGACTCCGCATGGCTCCTCTGTGCTGGCATGCTCCACACTGTCCAGGGGAGCCCCGCAGACTGGGGCCAGCCCATCCAGATGGGGCAATGCAGTGTGGTGGCCACATCTTCCAGCACAGCCATGCCACAGAGCTCCTAGTGACACTGGGAGAAAACCAAGCAGAGGGGGATCCAAGGAGCATGGTTCCCTCCTTAAGTGGTCACTCAACACCAAGCACAGTGGTCAACCTGGAGCTGTGCACCAAGATCCGCTTTTCTCTTTCCCGTCTAATGCACAAACCTTAGCACACCATGACAGCAGACAAGACAAAACAGTATCGTGAACCCCAAGTGGCTACCACACACCCACATGTGTTTTCATTACCTTCTCTGTTTTTCCTCACTGAGAGACTACCCAGCCTGTCTCTTGTGATGCTATTGCCTGCCTCACCCCCAACCCCCTTCAGGGGCCCTTGGAGACAGAGGGCCAGGTGGGACAAGTGTGTGTCCAATGGATTTTATTTGTTCGTATTAGTTATGTAGGACAGTAGAGTGTACTTTGACATATCATACATATGTCAGATCATCATGGAGTCTAACTTCCCATTCTTGTGGTTGGACATGATGTGGAGTTTCCCTGGTCATGTGTTCATATATGAACACAGGAAAGTTCTGTCCCATTCATTCCACTGTCTTTCCCATTCCCATGCTCTCCCTTCCCCTCATTTCCCTTTTTCTAATGCAATGGATTTCTATTATTCCCCCAACCACCCTTGTTTTGGGCTAGCATTCACAAATCAGAGTGAATATTTGACCTTTGTTTTTTGGGATGAACTCATTTCATTTAACACACTAGTCTCTGGTTCCATCTTTTTACCTGCAAATGCCATAATTTCATTCTTTAAGGCTGAGTAATATCCCATTGTGTATGTACACTGTATTTTCTTTATCCATTCATCTGTTGAAGGACACTTAGGTTGGTTCCATAGCTTAGCTATTGTGAATGGGGCTGCTGTAAACATTGATGTGACCGTGTCACTGTAGTATGCTGATTTTAAGTCCTTTGGATATAGACCAAGGAGTGGGATACCTGGACCAAATGATGGTTCCATTCCAAGTTTTCTGAGGAATCTCCAGACTGCTTTCCAGAGTGGTTGCACCAATTTGCAGCCCCACCAGGAATGCATGAGTGTGCCTTTTCCCCACATCCTCACCAACACTTATTGTTAGTTGTATTCTTAATGATCGCTGTTCTGACCACAGTGAGATGGAGTCTGCAGGGGGCCTTTGTAGGCCCTAGAGTGCATGCACCTTCAGCCTGTAGTTGCTTCTGAATTCTAATAGAGGGAAAAGTGTTTCCTCTCAGAAGGGGCAGTACTGTGTGTGTCCGCCCTGGGATCTCAGTGCAGGTCAGCTTCCCCTGCCTTTCACTAGACAGGCTGACTGTGCATTCTTTCTCCCCCCTTTTCCCCCACCCTGTCTCTTTCTGAATGTTTGGAATCTGTAGGACTGTTTGGGAACAAGATCAAGTCCGTGGCTAAGAGAGCGTTCTCGGGGCTGGAAGGCCTGGAGCACCTGTGCGTATCTTGTCAGACCTTGCCTGACCCCCAGGCCTGCCAAGGGCGGCCACGGCAAAGTCAGCTAGGATTGAATGGCATCTTTGTAAACTGAGAAACAGGCTGTTTAGAAGCGGCAGCTGCTTCAATGCTGGCCCTTATCTTGCCTGTGCCAGGGCAATCACAGAACACATGGCCAGTTGGTGTGATCCCCATGAATGCAGCTGGTGTGCGGACAATACCTTCCTCCGCTGCCCTGTGTCGCTGCTGCCCCTGCTCCTCCCTGGGCCCTGGTCTCCTCGCCACCCCCACTAGGCCAGCCAGCAGAGTGACACATACCCCACCCCACTGGGAGCTTCTCTGGCTGGCCCTGGGAGTAAGGGGACCAGCCAGCCCTGAGACCTTCACATCCTTCTGGGGTAGCTCCCTCGAGTGGGTGGGCTTGAGTCTGTTTCCTCTTTGCACCAAGTTCAACCCCGGTTCTGCTGGGAGAGCCTGTGGCAGTTGACTTGCTGAGCAGGCCTGCACCTGCCTCTGTGCTGCCCCTCAGACAGGTTGGGTCCCCGTGTCACCGCACATGCTGTGTCAACACATGTGAGAGCCACCTCCTGTGGAGTTATCACCTCTGGGTCACCTGAAACCAAGGCTGTCACGGAAAACCTCAGAGTCTCCTGGCTCAGACACAGGGCTGGCTGGAAGGGCACCTGGGGTTTCTTGGCACAAGTCCTTGTGTTGTGTTTCAGGGACCTGGGAGAGAATGCCATCAAGTCTGTGCAGCTGGACACCTTTATCACGATGAGGAATCTTAAGGAACTGTAAGTACTGAGGCTTCCTGGGGCCCTTGTGAATATGAGGAAGAACTTCCAGAGTAACAAACCCTTGTAATTGCTATATGCTCACATTTTTAATAGCTATGATCGTTTATGGGTAGATGCAAGTTAAACTGTTTTAAAAAAAAAAAATACTATGGGGAAGCTGGCTTGGTGGTGCATGCCTATCATCCCAGCAACTCAGGAGGTTGAGGCGGGAGGATTGCAAGTTCAAAGCCAGCCTCAGCAACTTATTGAGGCTCTAAGCAACTCAGTGAGACCCTGTCTCTAAATAAAAAAAATTAAAAGGGCTGGGGATGTGGCTCAGTGCTTAAGTGCTCTGGGTTCACTTTCAATCCCCAGTTACCCCCAGTCCCCCAAAAAGAAGTGGTGCTTACTTGGGATCAATAGGTAGAAAATACCTTTTTTTTTTCCTTTGGCGGGGCGGGACTGAGGATGGAACTCAGGGGTGCACCACCACTGAGCCACATCACCAGCCCTTTTTGAGACAGGGTATTACTAAGGAAGAACTGAACCTTTTCAGAAGCTAGGGCAACCCCCGCCCCAAGCAGACAAATCAAGTTCTGGCCTCAAACTTGAGATCCTCCTGACTCAGCCTCCAGAGTTGCTGGTATCCCAGGTGTGCACCACACACCCAGCGACAATCTTTTTCCTTAAAGGGTGATGTCATGAATATTTTGGACTCTGGGCCACAGGGTCTGTGTAGAAACTCCTTGGCAAGGTTGTTAAAGCATAAAGCAGCCATAAATAGTACATAAGGGAACAGGTGTGGCTGTGTGCCATTGAATTTGTACTGCACAGCAGCAGCAGCCTGCAGGCTGTGGTGTGCTAACAGCTGTTTTGTATAATGTCAAGTATATTCTTTTCTAAAAAGAGGGTGATCACCCCTTTAGTTACCCCAGGGACACGTTCTCCTCACTTGGGTTTGCTTAAAGGGAAAAGCCCACATGGAGAAGGGCTTCTTGAAGGAGCCGGGTGGGTTCGAGCAGCAGGGGCACTGATGGATGCTCAGAGGTGGGGTGCCACGTGACTGACTGGGGCTAGAGGAGCTCCCCACTATCATGGCCCAGGCAGAGCGATGGCCTCGCCTCCTTTCCCATTGCCACACGCCACTGATTCTGTGGCCAGTAAGTTCCATCTGTAATGTCAGTCCCCTGCAGGTCTCACTGAGTGAGTGTTCTGAGATGTACCTACGAGATGCCAGATGCCAGAGGGTGGTCATCTTTGTGCCCTGACCTAATCCCATTCCTGAGGCCACTCCAGGTGGACCCTTGATTGGGGCAGGGAGGGTAGGAATGGGGAAAAGGCCCAATCCCCGTGGCTAAGAGCCCAAGAGGGCAGGCAACATTCCTCTGAGAAGAGGGGGTGCTCGAGCACTTGTCCCATGAAGAGCTTGTGCTGAGGAACTTAAGGGTGCTCTTGCCAATGAGGGTCAAGAACCTCCAAATGGGACCTCACAGCAGGCTCATTGGGGCCATGTGGCTTTGTGGAGAGCCACACAGGGAGGGAGCCTTCTGGGCTTCTTCCCTACTTCCAACCATGGCTACTCTTCTGTTGTCCATCTGGGTGAGACAGATTCTGAAGAACAGATTTCCCAAGTTCCTCTTCTTGACAAATTATTCTGCACTGGATGTAGGTCTGGATACTGAAAAAGCAAGTAGAGGGGAATGTTGGTTATAAAAAATCCCTGGGCTCAGGAGGCTGAGGCAGGAGGATCACGAGTTCAAAGCCAGCCTCAGCAGCTTAGTGAGGCCATAAGCAACTCAGCGAGATCCTGTCTCTAAATAAAAAATAAAAAGGGCTAGGGATGAGGCTCAGTGGTTAAGCACCCCTGAGTTTAATCCCCAGTACCAGAAAAAAAAATCCAGATCTCCTGGGATGAGCATGATCTGTGCAGTTAGTAACAACTTTTCTCTCCATGAAACTTCCAAATGAGTCAGGAGTCCAAAAGATCTGATTAAATGGGAAAAGGGTATCTGGGGAGAAAGAAGGGAGAAAGGAGAAAGATTCTTCTTTTAGGTTCTTCGGAGACTGTTGACTAGTGGAGAAGAACTGAACCCTTTAGAAGCTTGGGCAACCCATCCCCACCCCCACCTCACAAAGAAAAAAAAAAAAAAACCCACACTGTCTGGCTCTGGCACTGAGCCTTGGTCCCCACCTGGGTTCCCATCAGTCGCTGCATGGACCCAGCTGGGGCTGGCCTGGGCCCAGTCCTCTGGAGGGCCCAGAGGGTTAATTCCCATGTTTTCTTCCCAATGGCACAAGGCAGGTTGTGCTGTGCACTTTGTGGCCCTCTGGGTAAATTTCCACAAGGGATAATTAGAAACACACTTCGAGTTGGAGTCATGAAAATGCACACTCTTAGCCAGCGAAGTATTGGGGTGGCTGGAAAAGGGAGCAGGAGGGGGGGGGCGTGTCTGTTGGCAGCTGCAGAGGCTGAGCTTTGCCTGAGTGCTGAAGACGGGCAGGAGTCAGCGGAGGCTGGGCTCACAGTCCCCTCTTTCTAGTCAGCCTGGCCTTTGTCTTATGGGGTGGTGTGACCAGGCTGTCCTGGGCCCTGGCCCAGGCTCTGCCTGCAGGCTTTCCATCGCAGTGCCTTTGGGAACTGCAGGAGTGCCCCTGGAGGTTGAGCCTGAGGAGATTCTGATAGTGGGAGTTCCTGCTTGCTCTTCACCAGGAAGGTGAGGTCCTGGTGCAGTGAGGCAGTCACAGGAGCTGTGCCTGGGATACTCTCCTCCCTGCACAGGAGTGAGGTGGGCCATTTCTGTTCATCGGCTGCCCTCCCACCCCTAGAGTTACTCCTTAGCAGGACGCAGAAAGTCAGCTGCCTGATAAATACAATTCAAAGCCTCAGGCCTACTCTATGGTCTGCCCTGGGCCTGGCCTCCCTATTATAATGGCTTTAAGATAAATCATTTCAGTTTTCAGAGAAGTACCTTCTGACCTTACCTCTGGGAATGATGAGGAAACGGGTTGTTCCCTCTTCCTTGCTGATTGCTAGTTTGACACTTTCTTTGCTCATTGGAAGTCCTTGGGGGCTGAGACAGGAGGATTGTGAGTTCAAAGCCAGCCTCATCAACTTAGTGAGGCCCTAAGCAACTCAGTGAGACCCTGTCTCTAAATAAAATACAAACTAGGGCTTGGGGATGTTGCTCAGTGGTCCAGAGTCCCTGAGTTCAAACCCCAGTAACTAACAAACAAACAAAACCACATTCAGAGTGAAAGAGAACAGAAAGCCGGTCCCCATGGTTGCTTTGTTGGTCTGAGGGATGCAGCAGCTGGAAAAACAGTCTGGCCTAATGACCAGAACCACATGTGTGGATTTCCTAGGCTTACTGTGCCCCTTTCTGTCACTGAGTGTCAGGGACATGACAGGGAAGCCACGTGTCTTTGTGTCTGCCCTTCTCATAGGTTGGCCACTGCTCTTCAGCTCAAGCCTGGGCTCTCCAAGGACCAGGGCAGCTAGAGTCTCCAGGTGACTTATCTTGGTGTGTGACTCCTCAGGAAGGAATGTCCACTCCGATGGCCATTCTGATTTCTGTTTGAAAAGCTTATCCTCAGTTGCTGAGAAATGAAAAAGAAAATATTCTCTGTTTTGGTTGGAGGCTCACAAAACCCAAGTTGAACGTTCTCCTGCTCCCTGGGCAGGGGCAGTTAACTAATGAGCACTATTTAGGGAGCAGGACTGCATTCTCCCGACCTCCTGAGCGATGCTCCTGTAGAGAGAGGGGCAGGCAGGTGGAACGTGTGGCTGGGAGGCTGACATTCAGAAGTAAGAAAACATGCAGCTTTGCCAAGTGTTGTGGTGCTCGCCTGCAATCCCAGCAGCTCAGGAGGCTGAGGCAGGAGGATCACGAGTTCAAAGCCAGCCTCAGCAACTTAGCGAGGCCCTGAGCAACTCAGCGAGACCCTGTCTTTAAATAAAAAAATAAAAAGGGCTGGGGATGTGCTCGGTGGTTAAGTGCCTCTGGGTTCAATCCTTGAACCCAGCTTGGCCAGTCAAAAAGTAGCAGCCATAAAAGAAAAAAGAAGACATATTAGAACTTGTTGCAGAGTTGAGATCAAAGTCCCAGGGTTGGGGACTGTGTTTGGAATTTATCAGGAAAGTGCTCTTGCCACTGTAAGGTGTATCCAAGGTCAGGAAAAGGTGAGAAGGTGTCCCCAAGGTAACAGAAGCAGAGTCTGAGAACAAGGGCCAAGTGCAGCCTCTGGACCAGGGGTCTCAGCTCCCCCCTGGAGCTCGGTAGGAGGGCAGAGTTGGGCTCCACCCTGACAGACTCCGTCAGAAGCTGCATTTGGTGCGAATCTCCAGGTAGCTTCTAGGTGCTGTTCCTCCAACAGAGAGGAACAAACTGTGGGGAAGGCATCTTCCAGTCAGCTCTGTGGGTGGCGATGAATGTCCTCAGCTGTTAAAGCTGCACTGTTCCGACTCAGTCCCAGCTCAGTGTCTTTTTCTTTCTTTCAGCCACATCAGCAGTGACAGCTTCCTGTGTGACTGCCAGCTCAAGTGGCTGCCTCCATGGCTTGAAAGCACAACACTGCAGGCCTTTGTAACAGCCACTTGTGCCCAACCAGAGTCACTGAAGGGCCAGAGCATTTTCTCAGTACCACCAGAGAGATTTGTGTGTGGTAAGACCTCGTTGGAGATTTTTTTTTTCCATGAAGGGCAAAGAGGCCAGGTGGGCCTCCTGCTTGTGGGAGTCATTGCTGTGATCCCAGGAAACCCCAGCCCACGGCTGCAGATCGGCCCCTGGATGCAGTTTACTTCCCGCTGAAACCACACATGGCATTTACCACGAGGTACATCCTGTGACGCTTGTAGTATGTGTGTTTAATCAGAGGGCAGCGTGCAGGGGCTCGGTGATACTCAGAATAATCAGTCACAGGAAGATGTTTCCAGTGTTTCAGGAGAGATCTGGTGCCCTGGTGTTGCTGGGAATTGATGCACCATATGATGTTTCACTGCAGGAAGGATGGGTTTGGGGAGAACATTCGCTCTAGTAAAAACAGTCCCTCCAGGTTCACCTGCACTCTGGCGGTTTCTCCAAACTCCTGAAATCTGCAGGGGTAGCTAGAGATGCCTCCTTCCTACTGGTTGTTAAAATGTCATCTTTTTTTTTTTTTACTAGAAGTGCTCAGGATCCAAGTTTGGTTGCAGAGAGTACAGAAAATGCTGAACAGCTGCAAACACACACACACACACACACACACACACACAGGCTAGCCCAGACAGGAATGACACAGCCTCTCGGCCACGAACACAGAGGCAAAGATTGAGATGGATTTTGAGTTGTTCCTGGCGTTTGCTTGGAGCAGGAGAGAGGACAGAATAACACACCCGTCAGGCCCTGCTGGGCAGTTGCACATCTCTCCTGCTGCCAGATCCTGGCTGGGACAGTCCTAACCGGAAGCCCACCTAGCAGTACAGGGGTTCTGCTAATCCACATCTGTGACATACTTTTGGCTCTGACAGTAGCCATTTCCCTGCTGGGAGTGAAAGAGGAATGTCCTCTGTCCACGAGTTCACACTTCACCCCCCTGGGACAAACCTCTGCTTAGTGTGGCCTGCTGGCCACCCTCCTGCCTGGTTCAGACCAGGGAGAAGTAAGTATGGAGAACACGGTAGCAGACCTCCAGACTCTGCTGGTCCTTCTTAGGGGTCTTCTGCAGTGGGATCCCAGGCTGTGCCCAGTTCCGGCTCCCTAGGCACGGAATGGCTGTGCGGTCCGTGGTTCCTTGCCCATTGCTCAGGCAGCCCTGGACCATTAATCTCTTTCCACAGCTCCCTGGAGTGAGGCTGTCTGCCACTTCCTCCCGCTCCTGCCACAAGGCAGCCTTTCCCTTGGACCATCCAGGGAGGACTTCCAGGGATGACTTCTGCGGCACCCTCTAACCTCAGGCACTGGCAGACTCTGGATTAGAGTGGTTGTTGATTTCACCTCTCAGGCCCACCCCCTTGATTCAGTTCAGGCTTCCCCCCACCCCCGCTCCATCAAAACCCCAACCATCTGGTGTTAATGGGAATCACGAAAACACTTGGGAGGAGATCAAAGTTCCAGCTCTGTGCGCTCTCCCATGCCTTTAAAAAAAAAAAAAAAAAATGAAAGCACGACCAGCTCACACCCTCTAAGATGGCAGGTAGAGCCAGGTAGGAGCCAGTGCTGGCAAATGAGGGGACACACCTGAAACCCCCTCGTCCCCCCACTGCTGGGGGACAGTACAAGATGGGCAGTTCCTTTGGAAGGCAGCCTTAGAAGTTCCTCATTTAAACAGTTACGATCAGTTCCTCTCCTGGGACAAATGCACATCTCACGGAAACCTCTCCACATGTGTGTTCACAGCAGCGTTATTTATAATAGCTGAAAAATGTGCACCCAAGTGCCCACCAGTTGATGAATGAATAGAGGAAGGTGGCATAGCTAAACATTGGAGGATTATCAGGCCATAAAATGCCACCTGTCCTGTCCCTCCCACAGCCTGGATGAACTTTGAAAATGATAAACTAATGGAAAGTGGTCAGTGACAAAGGAACGCAGATTCTATGACCCAGTCACAGGGAAGTCCCAGGACAGGGAGATCTGTAGTAGGAAGTGCCCTAGGAGGTGCTCCAGCATGGGGAGAGATGGAGGGAGAAGGGGAGTAGCTACAAAGTGCTTCTCCATGAGGTGACAAAGATATCTTAAAATTGACTGTGGTCATGACGACACCTACGCATGAATGCACCACAGGCCATTCAGTTGTGAGCTTGAAATGGGCGAGCTGAAGTGTATGTGAATTATTGCTCAGTAAAGCTGTGTGTGTGTGTGTATGTGTGTGTGTATTATAAATATAATTTTTACATGTCATAAAAATGTGTCTCTTTAAAACGTGAACTTTGGATTTAGAGTCTTCAAAATTTGTGTCATCGCTGATTTATAACATTTTCATCACTTCTGAAAGAAACCACAACCCCACGCCTTAGCAGGCATTCCCTCTTCTCCTGGCCCCCATCCATGGCGGTCACTAGTCCACGGGTGTGTGTGACTTGCCTGCTCTGGACAGTTAACATGAGTGCCAGTGGACGGCGTGTGGCCTAAGGAACTCTCCTTTTCTCACTTTGCCGGGTCTTCTCCCCCAGTGGGGGGATTGGATCTGGGGCCTGAGCTGCCCCCTCCCCTGAGCATAGTTTTGTTTTATTTTTAATATTTTTTCAGGTATAATTGGGCACAACACCTTTATTTTATTTGTTTATTTTTAATGTGGTGCTGAGGATCAAACCCAGCGCCTCACACTGCTAGGTGAGTGCTCTACCCTGAGCCCCAGCCCTAGCCCCAGCCCCTGAGCATAGTTTTAAAGCATCAGTTCCTTTTCTGTGACTGAGTGACATCCTGCTGTATGGATATACGTTTTGTTTCATCCATGCATCAGATGGCCGATATTTGATGGTGCTTACATTGGGGATTTTATGATTAATGTTGGTGTGAACATTCATGCACTAGTTATGTGAATTCTCTTGGGATTGCACCTGGGAATGGAATCTTTGGGTCCTGTGGTAGCTCTAGGTGTGACCGAAGAACTGTCAAACTGTTTTTTCAAAGTGGCTTCAGGATTTTACACACCTGCTGGCAATGTATGGGATTCTGGTTTCTCCTCATGCTCACGGACACTTGCTATCTTTTTTATTTTAGATTTTGCTAGTGGGAACAAAGTAGAATCTCATGGTAGTCTTAACATTTCCAAAATGACTCATGATGTTGAACAATTTTCTAGATGCTTATTGGATCGTGCATAGCTTCTTTGGAAAAATAGCTACTCAAGTCATTTATTCATTTCTCTATTTTGTTATGAGTTATCAATTCTGAATATTAGCACATTCAGAATTCTATATTTGTTATGAGTTGTCAATTCTGAATATTAGAATATTCAGAATATTAGACCTCATCGGGTCTATGATTTGTAAATACCATTTCCTAGTCTGTGAATTGTGGTGGTGGTTTTTCAGTTTCTAGACAGTTGTGCAAAATTTTTTTTAGAAATAGTTTTAGGGCCAGGTGCAGTGGTGCATGCCTATAATTCCAGCAGCTTGGGAGGCTTAGTCAGGAGGATTGTGAGTTCAAAGCCACCCTCAGCTATTGCAAGGCACTAAACAAACAAACAAGAAAAGAATTCCATTTACAATAATTTTTTGGGGGGGCAGGTACCAGGGATTGAACCCAGGGGTGCTTAACCACTGAGCCACATCCCCAGCCCTATTTTGTATTTTATTTAGAGACAGGGTCTCACTGACTTGCTTAGTGCCTTGCCATTGCTGAGGCTGGCTTTAATCCTGCCTCAGCCTCCCAAGCTGCTGGGAATACAGGTGCACACCACTGAGCCCAGCTAATTGTGATATTAACTGTGGATTTTTCAAAGATGACCTTTATGAGGTTGAATAAGTTCCTTTCTTATCCCTAATTTTTTGAATATTTTTTATTATGAAAAGCTATTGGATTCTGTCTTGTGTATATTCTATGTGTGTGTGTTTCTGAGATGATTGTTTTATTTTATTGATAATGGTCTAGTACATTGATTTTTGAATGGTAAACCTTGCTTTCCTGGGATCAACCTAACTTGATTATAGTATGTGATTCTTTTTAGGTGCTGTACATTTCAGTTTGCTGGGATTTTTGCTGAAGTTTTTGCATATATACTTATAAAAGTCATTGTTCTCTAGGTTGTTGTTGGTGTGTGTGTGTGATGTTTTTCTTAGGTGTTTGTTGTTAAGAGTAATAGTTGTATAAAATTAGTTGGAAGATATTCTCTTTACATCTACTTGTACAAAAAAAGAAAGAGGAAAAAAATGCTTTGGAAGTTTTGGATTGGTTCTCTCTCTAAATGTTTGGTAGAATTCACTTGAGTCTGAGCTTTTCTTTATAGGAATTTTTTAATTCTACATTTAAAAATTCTTAAATTCTAAAGTGTCTCCTTAGTGTTGAGCCAGAATTTGTTTCTCCTTGAGTCAGTTTTAGGAGATTGTCATTTCAGCCAGGTGGTCTGGTTAGCTGGGTACAGTTGTTAGAATGTTCCCTGTTTTCCTTTGGCTGGAAGAAGGTCAGTAGTGGGGTGCCCTTTTTTTGTACCTTCTGTTTTTCCTTCCTGCCTACTAGTTGAGCTAAAGGTTTTTTCAATTTTGTTGATATTTTCAAATAACCAATTTTTGCTTTGCAGTGATTTTCTCATTTTCCTGTCCCCGTTCTTTCATTTCTGTTCAAATCATGATTAATTTCTTTTTCCTGCTTGTGGTGGGTGTAGTTTATTCTTCTTTTTCTGGGTTAAAAAACTGGATTATTAGTCCTAAAGTTCTTTAATACAGGCATTTCCAACAATAAGTCCACGAGCACCATTTTAGGCGTAGCTTCCGAGACTTGAAAACTAAACACATCGTTTTCATTCAACTCAGAGCATCTTCCAGCGTCCCTGTGACTTCTTCTCTGCTATGCGGAAGTGCACTGCTTAATTTCCACAAGTTGCTTTCCAAATACTCTCTTCACTGTGGATTTAAAAGTCATTCCATTGTCATCAAAAAAGATACTTTGTGTGATTTCCATCTTTTTAAACTTATTGGACCTATGTTTTGACCTAAAATATTGACTTATCTTAGAGATTGTTCTGTGTACATTTTAAAAGAATATTCTGATGTGGTTCAGTGGAGAGTTCCATGGGTGTATATTAGAACTAGTTGGTTTATACTGTTGTTCAAGTCTTCTTTCTCCTTGTCCATCTGCCTAGTTTTTCTGCCTAGCTTTTCATTGGAAATAAGAGTATTATTGTTACATTGTCTGTCCTTCTCTTCAGTTCTGACAGGTTGTGCTCTACATTTTGTAAAGCTCTGTTAGGTGCATATATTTATAATTTTTATGTCTTCCTGATGGATTGACCCATTTGCATGATAAAATATTTTGTCTCATATTTGGTGATTGTTTAATTGTCTTGGGATCTAAACTGCCTCTTGTAGGTAGTGTATACTGGGTCATTGTTTTTTTATCCATTATGGTTCTCCTTGCCTTTTGATCAGAGTATTTAATTCATTTAGTGTTTTGTTTTGCTGGGGGGGGGGTACTAGGGATTGAACTCAGGGGCACTTAACCACTGAGCCACATCCCCAGCCTTAATTTGTATTTTATTTAGAGACAGGGTCTCACTGAGTTGCTTAGGGCTTCACTTTTGCTGAGGCTGGCTTTGAACTAATGATCCTCCTGCCTCAGCCTCCTGAGCCGCTGGGATTACAGCGGTGCACCACCACAAATATTTCCTGTAGAACGTGTCTGGTAGCAGTAAATTCTCTCAGTTTGGATATTTTTTTAAAAATCTGGGAATGTTTTAATTTCATCTTTATTTTTGAAAGATAATTTTGCTGTACCTGAGATTTCCAGACTTTTTAAATACTTTGAATATTTCTCCCTCTTGACCTTCCTGGTTTTGAATAAGAAATAAGCTACAAATATTTTTTGAGCATCCCCTGTACGTGATAAGTTGTTTTTCTTGTGCTGTTTTGAAGATGCTTTGTCTTTGGCATTTGACACTTGACTATGATGAACCTAGGCCTTTTGAATGAATTTTCCTTAGAGTTAATTAAATTTTTCAGATATGTGGGTGCATATTTTCCATCCCATTTATAAGTTTGGATGCATCAGGGCCTCAAACATACTCTCCCTCCTCCTTGTGTCCTGTGTTTGGACTCGCATGATCTGTATGTTGTCATGCTGGATGCTCTTGCACAGATCTCTGAAGTTCTGTGTATTTTCTTCATTCTCTTTGATTCTCAGACTAGATATCTCTGTTGACCTGTCTCAAGTTCACTGACTCATCTGCAAGCTCAGTTCTGCTACTGAGCCCTCTAGGGTGGAATTTTTTTTTAATATTTTTAGTTGTAGATGCACACAATACGTTTATTTTACTTAGGTTTTTTTTTTTTAATGTAGTCCTGGATTTGAATCCAGGGCCTCACCCATCCTAGGCAAGTGCTCTATCAGGGAGATACAGCCCTAGCCCTAGGGTAGATTTTGTTTTGTTTTGGTTTGGTTCTGGGGATTGAACCCAGGGCCTTGTGCATGCAAGGCAAGCACTCTTCCAATGGAGCTATATCCGCCCTAGGGTATAATTTCAGTTACTATACTTGTAAATGCCATGGTTTGTATGTGGTTCATTTTCATAGTTTCTGTTCATTAATCATTTCTCTTGGGTAAGAAAGTGTTCTCATGCTTTAATTCTCTTAGACAAAATTTTAGTTTTTCAAGTATTTTTATAATAGCTGATGTTGTTTAATAAGTCCAAGATCTCAATTTCCTCAGGGACAGTTTGTATTGATTTTTTTTTCCTGTTTCACAATTGGTTGTTGAAAATTGGACATTTAAGATAAAATAATATGCTGGGTGTGGTAGCACAGGCTCCATCCTAGCTGCTCAGGAGGCCGATGCAGGAGGATCTCGAGTTCAAAGCCAGCCTCAGCAACTTAGCGGAGGTCCTCAGCAACTCAGTGACACCTTGTCTCTAAATAAGTTACAAAATAGGGCTGGGGATGGGGCTCCGTGGTCAAGTGACTGTGGGTTCCATCCCCAGTACCAAAAAAATAAAATAAAGTAAAATGACATGGCAAGTCCAGAGTCAGATCGTCCTGTCCTCCTCCAGGGCTTGCTGACCCGTCACCGTTCCTTTAGGGCCTCTCCTAGATGAGTGTTATGGAGCCTGGTCTGTACAACCCCTTGAGTTCCTGCTTGGCTTGCTAGTGTGTAGCCAATAGTTGGACACAGAAGTCCTTAAGTCACCCCCATCAGCAAATCCTGTGTCCTTCACCGAGGCCGTGTATGTATGTGCTGGCATGTGCTCTCACTTCCTGCTTGTGCGTGTCTGCCATCTCAGCCCAGGCAAGAAACGAGGGCTCCCCCAAGGTCTTTCCAGGGTGTGTGTCCACCCTACACGTGGGTGTGCCCTTCCTGATTCCCAGGACTCTGGTGGACCTCACAGGGCCTGCTGCTGGCATCTCCTCTGCCTGACTTTCCTTCAGTTTCTTGACCACTGTCCTGTTCACACCGACAGGCACAGTCACCTTGGACAGTGGCATGGTTACACAGTGGCCACTATTTTCATCAGATGCCTGGGGACAGGGCTTCCTGTGGTGAGCCTTCTTCATGAGTGGGGATTTCCAGGTCTTGGCCTGACAGGTCACACAGTGACACTGCTTTGATGGGGTTTTGGGGGGAGCTCCGCCTGCCCCCTCAATGGGTGCTAGCTTCTGAGTCTCAAGGCTGTCACAGAGTGGAGTGGAGGCAGGTGGGACTTGGGTAACTCACAACACCAGAGAGCTCCTATCTCTTTCTAAGAGGCCTCCATTTTCTTGAGTCCCCACCCTGTGGATCATTGTGTTTCATTTTCCAGAAATCGAAACCATTGATTTTGACCATTTTTGCAGTACTTTCATCATTTTAAGGGAGTTCAGATTTTTGGGAGTCCCAACATTCTGGAAGCCACTGTGCCAGAGTCCTTCGTGTGGCCATGACAAGTGGCACCTCTTGTGTGGCCGTGTCAACAGGTGGAATGGGTGTGGGTCTCCAGGAAGCTTCCGGAGGGATGGGTGACCGAGCGCTGGTGGCCCATTTCTAGTCCAGGGTTGTGCTCACTGCCTCACCTGGGTGGGGCCTGGTGTCCCTGGCCCGGTTTTGTGTGAGTGTGACAGCAGCTGGTCCCTGTCTCCTCACAGTGGCCCTTCTCTCCCCAGATGGCTTCCCAAAGCCACAGATCATCACCCAGCCAGAGACAACAACAGCCGTGGTGGGCAAGGACATCCGGTTCACGTGCTCAGCAGCCAGCAGCAGCAGCTCCCCCATGTCTTTTGTCTGGACGAAGGACAATGAGGTTCTGGCCAACGTCAACATGGAGAACTTCTCCTAAGTGCACAAGCAGGACGGGGAAGTAATGGAGTATACCACCATCCTGCACCTCCACAGGGTCACCTTTGGCCATGAGGGCCGCTACCAGTGTATCATCACCAACCATTTTGGCTCCACCTACTCTAACAAGGCCCAGCTCATGGTGAATGGTAGGTGCCCCTGTTGGTCTCTCCCAGGCACCCCACCCCGATGGCTGCCCACCTCGGAGAGGACGGAGGCAGACCTGCGATCAGACCACACTGTCCCCTGGGCTTGCCCAAGGCAGGTTCTGCAGGTTAAAACACCCTCTCCCTGGGCTTTGGGTGACTGTTGGGAAGCGGGGTGAGCGGCAAAGCTGAGCCTTCAACTTCTCTGGAGCTACGCGGTCCAGTTTCTAGGTCCCACATCCCAGACCCTGGGGAAGCTGTGCCCTTGAGTGGGTGGCACAGCTGTGGAAGCACAGGCCAGCCTGGGCAGGGGCAGGTCCCCACCTCTCAAGACAGCAGAGAGCAGGGCAGATGTGGGGGAGGGTGAGACAAGGTCCTGTACTCAGAAACCAGCTTGTCAGAGCTGCTCTCTTAAGGGCTGCTATTTTTGGAGGGGGACAGGAGGAGTGTGAGTGGGCACCTCCCCGCACCCTGAGAACCCAGGGAGATTTTTCTGATCATTAAAGTGCCAGTGACAGAGTTGGCTCGCATGTCATCAGAAGTGCCGGCGGGCTGCACTCAGTCACCTCCGCAGACCACAGAACAAACTTGACCACACTCAGGTTGTCTTGGCGTATTCTAAGAGGCCTCACTGCCACCTCAAGACTCAGGCAACTAAGTGACTCTCTGCCAGGGCATTTGTTATTTACACCAGGTAAATGAGGTCCCGGGGTGCTTACCCACATCCCAGCCCTTTCCTATATTTTATTTAGACAGAGTCTCACTGAGTTGCTTAGGGCCTCGCTAAGTTGCTGAGGCTGGCTTTGAACACGATCCTCCTGCCTCAGGCTCCTGAGCCATTGGGATAACAGGCGAGTGCCATGGTGCCTGGCTGACCAGAGCAGCTTGGACAGGAAGCATGGTGATGCCTGCTGTGCAGCTGGACACTGACTCTGGCGTCCCACTGCTTGCTGAGCCTGAGCCAGTGAGCCCAGTGCTTCTGCCTATGTGTGCTCAGCAGCGTGGCCCTCAGGCTGCCCTGGGGGGGGCATGGACCTTCCCTCTGTGATTGCAGCTTGGTGAGCAGGTATTTCTGCTTCCCAGGCTCTGTTCTGGTGCCTTGTGAAGGCAGGCGAGCCTCAGGCCCCGACTCCCAGGGTCCCACCTTTGTGACCCATTACCTATGAGGTGCAGTAGGCAGAATGTCAGCCATAGCCTGAGACTTCATCCCCAGCTGGAGTGGACAGGTAGAGGAAGTGCCAGGCCGTGGTGGGGAGAGGCTGGCACTTTCTCTGGGAAGCTTACTGCTCCTGATTGAGGTGGCTGCAGCAGTCCTGGGCTGGTGGTGGCACAAGGCGTGGAGGTATGGAGCGGTGGCCCTCGCACACTGGGGGGTCTCTGCCCCAGAGGTGTTCCCTGCATTTGCAGCCAGCTGTCCCCTGACCTCCCCCTTTGTGTGTTTTCCAGTGCTGCCATCATTTACCAAAATGCCAAGAGACATCACCATCAGGACAGGCACCATGGCTCCCCTTGAGTGTGCGGCCACCGGCCACCCCAACCCCCAGATTGCCTGGCAGAAGGACGGAGGCACATACTTCCCTGTGGCTCGGGAGCACTGCATGCATGTCATGCCAGAAGACGATGACGTGTTTTTCATCACTAATGCGAAAATAGATGACATGGGCATTTACAGTTGCACCACCCAGAACTCGGCAGGCTCTGTGTCAGCGAATGCCACCCTGAATGTCTTAGGTTCGACCATTGGTGTACTCTGGGGGGTGTGTGTGTGCATTCATGTGTAGGGGTCTGAAATGATACTGAGGGGAAGGCCTGCGGAGTTGCTCTGTGGACCCTGGGGGTTACAGGAAGGTGTTGCTACTGTTTGAAATTTGGGGCTGCTTTTAGGATTTTTTCCTCTTTTTTTAAAAGAAATTGTTTTGGGTCCTGGGGATTGAACCCAGGGGCACTCAACCACTGAGCCCCATCCCCAGCCCTATTTTGTATTTAGAGACAGGGTCTCGCTGAGTTGCTTAGGGCCTTGCTAAATTGCTGAGGCTGGTTTTGAACTTGCAATCCTCCTGCCCCAGCCTCCTGAGCTGCTGGGATTACAGGCATGCCCCACCACCCTGACTCCTATATCTTTAAAAAGACTAAAGGCCAGTGCAGTGCCAGAGCCTTGAGCAACTGGTGACCAAAGAACATGCAGGAGGGATGTGGTCTTAGTCAAGAACAAGGACACAGGACAGTTTGGGAACAGGAACTTTTATTACCAGAGATCAGCCATCTTCTGAAAAGCTTGCCACTCTGACAGAAGCCCTCAGGTGGGATTGTGCCATGTTTAGAGAACCAAGCAGACCCACAGCACTGAGGCCCCAGAGTGAGCGTGCCGTCTCTTGATCTCTTGCAGAGACCCCGTCCTTGGTGTTACCCTTGGAAGACCTCGTGGTGTCTGTGGGGGAGACGGTGGCCCTCCAGTGCAAAGCGACCGGCAGCCCCTCCCCCCACATCACCTGGCTCAAGGGGAACCACCCCCTGAGCCTCACCTATAGGCACCACTTCACCCCCGGCAACCAGCTGCTGGTGGTCCAGAACGTGGTGGTGGAGGACGCGGGCCAGTACACCTGCGAGATGTCCAACATGCTGGACAGGGAGCACGCTCACAGCCAGCTGAGCATCTTGCCCACACCTGGCTGCAGGAAGGACGGGACCACCATGGGCATCTTCACCATCGCCGTGGTGTGCAGCATCGTTCTGAAGTCGCTGGTGTGGGTGTGCATCATCTACCAAACCAGAAAGAAGAGCAAGGAGTACAGCGTCACCAACACAGGTGGGCACGGTGGCCGTTCATTTCCAAGGCAGGAGAAGCCAGGTCCACACTCTCTGTCAAGAGTTCTCATGCTCTGGGAACTCCAGGACCTCTGGGAATGTGGTTCTGGAGAACTGAAGCCTTGGTCCTGAGGACACTGGGTTCATACTCAGGGCAGAGCCTGGGGCTCAGTAGTAGCGCATTTGCCTAGCATGAGTGAGGCACTGGGGGTCGATCCTCAGCACAGCATATAAATAGATAAACTAAAGGTCTATTGACAACTAAAAAAAAAAAAAAAAAAAAAAACTTCCTGCTGATGTCCTCCTCCTAAGCGGAGGTCGATTGTCCCTGAAATGTCACAGTGCTGTGATTTTGTTAGTTCTGTCTCACTTCCTGTCACTCTTCCCCGTCTTTTGTGGTCTCAAATGCCTTTTTTTATTGTTAGTTGTTCAAAACATTACATAGTTCTTGATATTTCACACTTTGATTCAAGTGGGTTATGAACTCCCATTTTTACCCAGTATACAGATTGCAGATTCACATCAGTTACACATCCATTGATTTACATATTGCCATACTAGTGTCTGTTGTATTCTGCTGCCTTTCCTATCCTCTACTATCCCCCCTCCCTTCCCCTCCCCTCTTCTCTCTCTACCCCCTCTACTGTCATTCATTTGTCCCCCTTGTATTATTTTTCCCCTTCCCCTCACTTCCTCTTGTATGTAATTTTGTATAACCCTGAGGGTCTCCTTCCATTTCCATGCAATTTCCCTTCTCTCTCCCTTTCCCTCCCACCTCTCATCCCTGTTTAATGTTAATCTTCTTCTCATGCTCTACGTCCCTACTCTGTTCTTAGTTACTCTCCTTATATCAAAGAAGACATTTGGCATTTGTTTTTTAGGGATTGGCTAGCTTCACTTAGCATAATCTGCTCTAATGCCATCCATTTCCCTGCA